TTCTCTGGGTAGGGTCCCGCTCTCTGCTCTTCTCTGTTAATGGTCCCAGGGACCTCTGCTCCTAGACTGCAAAGTTAATCACTCCCCTCCTTGGTACAAAATGTCTACCTTTACATTTCTAATCCTCACAAACAGTCCTGATAGCAATTATGCACTATTGTGCCACATGAGTTTTCCTTTTATTAGCCTCACCTAGACAGATTGGATCCTACTTAGTGGAGAGTCTACCTTCCTCCACGCCCTCTGGATCTAGGTTCCCTCTTAAAAGCTTGTAACCCAGTCACTTCTTGCCTTTGAAGTCCCCCCATTTTGGGTAGCCAATGTCCAACTTGCCCATCCCTGTCTACTCTGTGTATGGAGGGGGTGGGAATTATTGTTGTTGTAAAGATTTGTTTTTACTGACTTTTTATGTGAAAAGATAAAAGATAATTGTTGAGCTTTTTCAGGTTCATTTCAATTGGCTCTTTTCTGACATATTTTTCCTTTATCTCTAAAAGAATGCTTGTACCACTTTATTTTCATCAGTGTTTACTTGTTTATTAAGGTGTGTACAAACACTAACTCATGCAAGTGTGCTAATCTTCAGTGACTAGCTTGATGAAATTTCACATATGTACGCCTCAATAAACAGAACATTTTCAGGACTCCAGAAAATTCATTCATGTCCCATTCTTGGTAATTATTCCACAGAGGCAACCACAATTCTGGCACATTTGAGGCAGCTTCATTATCTTTTGATTTAATTTTTGCTTTATGTATAGTGATGCTGAGTAGTTTTTCATGTGATTTTTAGCCACTTGGAAATCTTTTATAAGGGCAAGTGTTCAAACATTTTGTTCATTTTTTGTTTTAATCTGAAGGGTTTCCTCTAGTTACATGCCATTTATTGTATGTGCCTGCACATCTCTACATTTGTATGTATGTTTAGATCACTATCTTTACACACAGATATGTATATATATGTTGTTGTTAGGTGCTGTGTAGTCGTTTCTCACCCACAGTAACCCTACTTATACCAGTAACTGCCCAGTCCTACTCCATTCTGGCAGTTGTTGTAATGTTTGTGCAATCCTTGCGTCTATGGACCATTTTATCTGTACTTCTTCCAACACAGATTTGTTCATTCTTCTGGCAGTCCAT